TCAGATAATTGCCACCGGTGTTGGCCGTGAACGGGAAATCGAGCTCGGGGCCGCCAGGTTCGAAGCGCAGCGCTGCTAACCGATTACACCACAGCTCCCCTGCATACAACAACAACCGCCATTCGCAACTAAGTGGCGGTGACGTCACCACGACGCTTGTGCCAGGCCATGTGCACCTTGAGGCCACGCGAAGTGTCGAATGCCCGCTGGCAGCAGGAGGTCACGGGACAGACCCAGCAGGTGCCACGGGTCGACTGACCGAGCTCCGTGGCTGACGCACCACCTGTGCCCCCTACTGTGCCAACTTGCGTACGCACAGGCGCACACCTGCACTCAGGCAGCCCCCATCCGCTGCGCGTGGCCGCACCTGCCTGAGCCGCGCGAGATGCCCTCCTTGACCCCTGGCTCTCGGTAACCGCGGCGCTTGCAGGCCGTGAGCGTGCCCTTCGTGCCGCACGCGGAGTGCGTCAGGGCGCTGGGCTCCGCCGTCACGCGCAACATGTTCTGCGCGGGGCGCAGCGCGGACGACGACGGTGCCGGTGGCGGCGGGAGGCTGGGCGACGCTTGCGGCGGGGATAGTGGCGGCCCCCACGCCACTCTCTACGGGGACACGTTCTTCCTGACGGGCATCGTGAGCTGGGGCGACGGGTGCGCGCGGAGCGGCAAGTATGGAGTCTACACCAAGGTGAGAGGTGGCGTGACCACGGAGGCGCGTGACCATGCGATGGCTTGCATCACACACCGAAACATGCATTGCATTTCGATTTAAAGCTTTCGTGACCGCAGGGATTCATCTTGTTGGTTCTTTCGGTAAAGTCACGTAGAATGGAAAAAATAAAATAAGATTGTTTGATTTTTTATTATTTTATTATTTCCCTTCTACGTGACTTTACCGAAAGAACCAAGAACATGCGTTGCATTATTGTTATGACGGTTCACCGAGTCTCTACACTTTTTAAGAAGGGTTCTGACCAAGGCCGTAATTACCATATATATTGGGGGGGGGGGGGGATGTGTCCCCCCCCCCCCAATATTCAAATATGCTCAAAATGTCCCGCCCAATATATTGCTTTAAAATTGATTTTTGTTTATATGATTGTGGTAATGGTTGTACTTTATTAAGCCCTAATCTCTGCCATTACATACAATTAAACAGGAAAAGGTTAAAAAGAGTAAAAACAGAGCAATGTAATACAGTACACTATTAGACATTAAAGTAAAAAAAAAAGTCCATCCTATGTGTTACTGATTTTTTTTTATTTTAGGCAGGAAATTAGTTTTCAAATTTAGATTTTTTTTCTGGGGGGGAGGGGGAACCCAGACCCCCTGGAAGATTTGGTCCCCCCCAATGTTGACTCCATCGCTGCGGCCTTCGTTCTGACAAGTTTGTTTAAAGTCGGTTGCAGGTTGTTCCGTGTCATCCCGATCGAGTAATTATTCAGGCAGATTTTCAGCATCGGAGTCTTTGGCTGGTTGCACTGTGTATGTGTTTTTTTTGTTATGGGAGAAAAACTCGGCCTTAGTACTTAAGCTATGCCTGGTTTTTCAGCGGTGGCCACTGCCAGGGTCTACTGTTACGAAAGAGATGAACATTCCGTCTCCGCGCCAGTGCCACAAATCAACGGTGACAATCTGTCGGTGGGATCCCCGCTCCTCGATGGGGGGAGGCATGGAACTTCCTCCTGTATCGCGTGGCCCCGGAAATATCAACTCGGCAGAGGCGAGCTCCAAACTGCAGCCCGATAATTATCATTTAGATGGCACCGCAGCCTTGCCGGGCCCAAGAGTTGGGCCACCGCAAGAACAGCACCGACCCTTCTGGTATTAGGGGCCGTCCATAAATGACGTCACGCAACTAGGGGGGGGGGGGGGTCAGACATTTGTGACGATGTGTGACGAGGGGGGGGGGGGGGGGTGAGAAATGTGACGTTACATCAAAATGCGCAACTTGAAATAAATATAGACAACACGTTCTACTTAATTAAATATACTTTTTAATAAATGTTTAAAAAAATAAGTCTTGAGACTTGGCAAAGCTTCCCTGGTTCAATAAAATAATAACAATACTCTATGAGATCTCCTTTACCAGTGGCAAAATACTGTATAGTAATAGGGTTTTACCCTTTTAACTGGTACAATAAAGGTGTCAGATTTTGTACCAGTTAAAAGGGTTAAAACCTATTACAATAACAATACTCTTCAGCACTGAGTCAGTCCACTGCTGCATGAAAGATTCTACACTCCGTGTAAGTCATCAGGGTGGTTTGACCATACTTCACCATGCCATGATGCATGTTCATACTTCAGTGGGCATTTGCCTGGTAGGATGCGGATGGTTTAGTGTTGTATTTGTTTGTGTTTGGGCGATTCGTTTACTTTTCTTGTACTTTGCACGACCATCGAGTTGTTGTACTGCTGTTGTAACATTCGTGCCCGCGCCTAACTGGACACCTGTGAAAAAGAGCTTCACGGCTCACCGGATTCCTCCAGCATAAATGTTCTGATTCTATCGAAGGTGTCGCGGTTTGTGCCGTGGATCCGCGAGGTGATGGGACGCCCCGAAGTGAAGGCCGCCCTCCCCTCGCCGCCCGGGGCGGACTCACGCGAGCGCAGCTCCAGCCAGGCTCCTGCTGCTGCTGGTGGTGCAACACAAGAGGGGACATCGTGACACAACAACAACAACATAATCATCATCTTCTTGGTTCTTTCGGTAAAGTCACGTAGAAGGGAAGCAATACAATAATAAAATATAAAACAATAAAATTCTCACGACGTTTCGATTGCAACGCAAGCAATCATCATCAGGTGTGAAAACCACAGCAAGAAATAAACGCACTTTTTTCTAATTTTCTTACTGTGGTTTTCACACCTGATGATGATGATGATTGCTTGTGTTGCAATCGAAACGTCGTGAGAATTTTATTGTTTTATATTTTATTATTTTATTGTTCCCCTTCTACGTGACTTTACCGAAAGAACCAAGACGATGAATCCCTGCAGTCACGAACCCGTAGCTGGTTGCGCATGGGTTGGTCACCCATCCAGGCAATAGCCAGGATCAAACCTGCTAAGCCTCTGAAATATGAGTGGGCAACATTATGGATGATTTTTTTTCTCAAAGGCTACTTTAGAAATAAATACATGAACACAGATTGCACAGACTCGTTCCTGGTTGACTTGGCTGGCACATTCTACTACTGAATGACAGTGTTTTTGAACTTGTAATATTTTAATCCCTTTTAAATAATTGTAATACGTTTATCTTTTGATTAAATGACTTTGTTCTTTTCATTACATTTTTCGTAGACGTTTTTTTCATGTTTGTTATGGTTGTCACATTTTTACGATGCGGCCGAGCCTTGCAGCCTCCTACCATCGCCTCCAAACTTACACGCAACATACACGCACATATTTATACTCGTGCATGCACATACTTACACACTTTTTAATACATTTCACAGGACTATACATTACAGCGTTCCTTTTCATGAATTCCGTTTAAATAACAGGACCCTGCGGGGTGGGCTGGTAGGAATAATACTTAGTACCGGTACAGGGATATCGACCGGGTATAGAGGAGTTAAAGAAAAAAATACTGTATTCTAGTGTAACGTTAATTATCATGAATTCCGTTTAAATAAAAAACAATTATACAGCACTGCTGGTCTCTGGTTTACGACGGTACGATTTCCAACGATCCACATTTACGACGTTTGTATGACGTCAACACGGGTCGATTTACGACACTGAAACTTGATTTACGCCGCCAACACCCATCAGTCTCGTTCTGCTGTAACGGTGCAGTAACAGCCGTGCGGTAACTACAGTCTATAACTTCATATCGTGTCACTGTTTTATGGTCGTGTTGCCACCCGGTCCACTTCGGGTTGCCAAATCTGGCCTAAGCTACTTCAGAAGATTTTTGTCAAATTAATTAATTTCGTGAAAACCTCACACAATTAAGATATATTGGATTTTAAATTTTGATTTAAAGTTTTCGTGACTGCAGGGATTCATATTCTTGGTTCTTTCGGTAAAGTCACGTAGAAGGGAAATTTTTCAAATTTTCTTGCTGTGGATTTCACACCTGATGATGATTGCTTGTGTTGCAGTCGAAACGTGCAAATTTTTATTGTTTAATATTTTTATTATTTTATTATTTCCCTTCTAGTGATTTTACCGAAAGAACCAAGAATATATATTGGATTGTTTTGCAATCGCCACCAGAAGATCAATAAAAAAAATTCCGGAAGATTCCCGTAAAATCCGGAATGGTTGGCAACTCGGGTTCCATTATTAACAAAACCGGGTCACGTGGTCTCAACAGTCAACCCGGGTCCGTTACCAAACTGGTCGCCGCTCTCAATGCAAAGCAATTCCCTCCGCCCAACACACGCAAAGCAAGGAGATGCGCGTTAAATTAATTAAAAATAAATTAGATGAAATGACAAGTGACACATTATATGTGAAATTAAATACAGGCGAGGGAAATACAATTTGATTTGGAGTTTTCGTTAATGCAGGACTTACTCTTTGGTTCTTTCGGTAAAGTCACGTAGAAAGAGAAAAAAATAATAATATGTATTTAATATTAATTACATATTTAATAATATATATTTAATATTTAATTTATATTTAATTCATATTAAATAATACGATTCAATATTAGTTAAAAATTAAATAATATGTATTCTTGGTTTTTTCGGTAAAGTCACGTAGAAGGGAAATAATTGTATTTTTATTATTGTATTAATTACCTTCTACGTGACTTTACCGAAAGAACCAAGAACATGAATCATTGCAGTCACGAACGCTTTAAATAGAAAAATAATATGTATTTAATATTTAATTAATATTAAAACAATATTTTTAATGACATAAATGTATTTATTTAATATTTTATTAATATTAAATTAATTTTCTTTAATTTACTTATTTTCTACGTGACTTTACCGAAAGAACCAAAGAGTAAATACAATTATTATAAACTGTTCCAAAGTCTGGATTTCCTTCAGTCCCCCCTCCCGCTCTCAACTGCCGCCTGGCTCCGCCCACTCGCTTGGCTCCGCCCACTCGCCTGGCTCCGCCCACCGTCAATAAGTTGTCATAGACCTGTAGTGACGTCACACACCTCGAGGCCGTGACGTCTGGTCGACGCTCCACGTTTAAAGCTCCTGACAAACAACGCTAAGTTCTAGCTCCAGGATATCCACTTACTACAACTGCTTCGCCATGGAGTTCAAGTTCTTCAAACTGCTGCTGCTGCTTCTTGCGGGGTTCCAGCTTTCGGCTGCAAAGCCCGTAAAGTCCAAAAACAGCATCAGTGCGCCCGAGGGTAAGAGATCCAGGAGTGATAAATAACGATCCATAGGAGTTCAACCAGGGATCCACTGGGCTCCGCTAGGGCTCTACACGTGCGTTGGTGATGACATTAGTGGCATTCATCTTCTTGGTTCTTTCGGTAAAGTCACGTAGAAGGGAAACAAAATAATAAAAATATAATAATAAAAATATTATTTTATTATTTCCCTTCTACGTGACTTTACCGAAAGAACCAAGAAGATGAATCCCTGCAGTCACGAAAGCTTTAAATCGAAATTTAGTGGCATTGTTGGTGGATGTGGGCAGCAGTGGCGCAGTGGTTAGCGCGCTGTGATATGAACCCAGCGACCCGAGTTCGATTTCTACTCACGGCCAACACCGGTGATGATTATCCGAACCGTTCGTGGTCCTCTCCGAAGTCGACTCAACCTCACGTGTGGACTCGACCTGGTGTGTGGTGTGCAAACATCGCCACTGGGGAGACAAAGGTGGTCGAGCATGGTGCTGACCACCCACCCCTCGTGTACCGTGTTGGGCCTCATAGTTGCTTGCTTACAGCACTTGCCTCAACAATTTGTGAAGGTAATTGGTTTTTTACCCTTCTATCTGGCAACAAAACTGACACGTTTTTTTTGTTGCCAGATAGAAGAGTAAAAAACCAATTATCATATTTTTACTGGCAAATGAGGTTCCAATGGTGTAAATTTGTTAAGGCTTTCTGAGGGGTCTTTGTCTTTGTTTGTTCTTTGTTGGTGGATATCGTGATGCAGGAGATGGCGTTGATGGCGATGCTCTTTGGTTGCCTTGTAGTCCTCGTGGTTGGCTTGTTTGTTCTTTGTTGGTGGATATCGTGATGCAGGAGATGGCGTTGATGGCGATGCTCTTTGGTTGCCTTGTAGTCCTCGTGGTTGGCTTGTTTGTTCTTTGTTGGTGGATATCGTGATGCAGGAGATGGCGTTGATGGCAATGCTCTTTGGTTGCCTTGTAGTCCTCGTGGTTGGCTTGTGGCGACTGGGATGGTGTTCGTGCCGTGGTGGTTGTTTCAATGATGGGTTTTGTTGGTGGTAGTGGTTGTGATGCGATAGGAGCAATGTTGATGCTGGTAAATACGGACGTAGGTTGAGGTCCTTCAAATTGGTAAAACAAAAGCCTGTTTGACAAAGTTTCCAAGTCACATGTGCATCTGCTGAACCTATAAATTATAAGAATCAGAATATTAATTTATACTGGATGAATCCAATGAGCTACACAGCTGTTTTTCACAGATCTCCAGTTTTGGGGAGGTCGGAACGTTCCAACAACAAACAATACAAAAACACGATAAGAGTGCAGAGTATTGGATAAATAACAATTCACTTAGAAATATATACAAATACAATATTTTGATTTAAAGCTTTCGTGACTGCAGGGATTCATATTCTTGGTTCTGTCGGTAAAGTCACGTAGAAGGGAAACAAAATATAAAACAATAAAATTCTCACGACGTTTCGATTGCAACACAAGCAATCATCATCAGGTGTGAAATCCACATCATGAAAATTTCTTGCTGTGGTTTTCTCACCTGATGATGATTGAGAAATCAAGAAATCTATCATTATAAAGCATTTCTACACGAAGTTTACAGTAATTTCATGTATAAAATCATACAAAAAACAAGAAACACAATAAATAAATGGAATAAATGAAATAAATGAACATTGAACTTCACTTTACCTGTAGTAAGGAGAGTTCATGGCTTGAGTGGAAGGTGGTGAGGAGGATGTGGTAATACCTTAGTCTGGGCAAGCATCATGCACGATGGCCATACGCGTCTCAGCCGTACAGCTTCTTTCAAGTCGCGATTGGTCCGTTCGACCTCCGAATTTCGTTCGGTTTCCGGGAAAAAAATGTTCGCAAATATCGTTCGAACACCGATTTGTTCGAGTTCTGGTGCGTTCGATCTCCGCGGTTCTACTGTATTCTGAGACTCTCATCCATGCCTTCATTACTTCTTTGTTGGACTACATTTCAAATCGCTCTCCTACAGTTTCCCTGCTTGGCTCATTTCAAGGTTAAAAACGGTCCCGAAATCTGCAGCGAGGCTCTTCGGCCGTACTCCGAGAGCCTTTTGAGCGCAGAGGCTTCCGTGGAATCAAGGCCAGTGAAAGGTTTGGTGTCATACACATAGGGATGGGTATGTGATGATTTTGCCATCGTGACACGTTGGTTCTTTTGGTCGGTCGTTCAGGAGTGGAGCCGGCGATGGGAATGTCCGGCTGGATCCAGCGGATGCGCGGCGCGAAAACGACGACAACTCCCCCTCCGACCAGCACGACTGCCATCCCTAAAGCACCCGACGTAGCCCGCAAATCTTCAGGTAACAATCTTATGATTGTTATCCCTCTCGCCTTAACTCCAAGCCCTGTACAATGCTAAACATCGTTCTGACTGTAAACCATCGCTTTGTCGCTAGCGATTCAAAAAGAATAGGCTTCACCCTTTCCTGCAATAATATAGGAAGTGTTAAGGTTTTCCAACACCAAATACACACCCATTGCATGGCATCAAGTCTGCATTAACCGCACATGTTTGTGGTAAAACATGCAAACGAACATGCTTCGATAAACACATTGTCCTGCGGAGGGAGCTGGTAGGAACGTTGGGTTGCTCGGTCAATGGCCTGCAGGGTCAACGGCGGCGTGGTGTATTCCGAAAATATGCCTGACTGTGAGGGCGGGCACAAGCCGGCGTGAGTAGGTTAAACGTTGAGTTTTATAAGGGCACCACGGGGTGACCAGCCCCTCCCCACCCAGCCCCATCCCTCCCACCCCCCACCCAGCCCCTCCCCACCCTCCCCTCCCCACCCAGCCCCACCCTCCCTACCCAGCCCCTCCCCACCCTCCCCTCCCCACCCAGCCCCTCCCTCCCCACCCAGCCCCTTCCTGCACGACGGACGGACGCAATAATCCCCTGTGGGCTGGTGAAATCAGTGGGTTCCTACCAGTATGAATGTATTCTCTTGATTTGAAGTTTTCGTGACTGCAGGAATCCATACTCTTTGGTTCTTTCGGTAAAGTCACGTAGGTAGAAATTAAATTAAATTAAACAAATTACGACGTTTCGATCGCAACACAAGTGGTCGTCATCAGGCAAAGGAGTCAGCCTCTAAAGGCAAACTGTTTATAAAGGTTTTGGAGATGGGTGTAGCCCAAGTGTGTGAGCAGCACCAACAGCATGGGCGGTGCACGAGTGCCAATGCAGCAGCAATGCCAATGTAGCAACAATGCCAATGCAGCAGCAATGCCAATGCAGCAACAATGCCAATGCAGCAACAATGCCAATGAAGCAACAATGCCAATGCAGCAACAATGCCAATGCAGCAACAATGCCAATGAAGCAACAATGCCAATGAAGCAACAATGCCAATGCAGCAGCAATGCCAATGTAGCAACAATGCCAATGCAGCAACAATGCCAATGCAGCAACAATGCCAATGAAGCAACAATGCCAATGAAGCAACAATGCCAATGCAGCAACAATGCCAATGAAGCAACAATGCCAATGCAGCAACAATGCCAATGCAGCAACAATGCCAATGAAGCAACAATGCCAATGCAGCAACAATGCCAATGCAGCAACAATGCCAATGAAGCAACAATGCCAATGAAGCAACAATGCCAATGCAGCAACAATGCCAATGAAGCAACAATGCCAATGCAGCAACAATGCCAATGCAGCAACAATGCCAATGAAGCAACAATGCCAATGCAGCAACAATGCCAATGCAGCAACAATGCCAATGAAGCAACAATGCCAATGCAGCAACAATGCCAATGCAGCAACAATGCCAATGCAGCAACAATGCCAATGAAGCAACAATGCCAATGCAGCAACAATGCCAATGCAGCAACAATGCCAATGCAGCAACAATGCCAATGAAGCAACAATGCCAATGCAGCAACAATGCCAATGAAGCAACAATGCCAATGCAGCAACAATGCCAATGCAGCAACAATGCCAATGCAGCAGCAATGCCAATGCAGCAGCAATGCCAATGCAGCAACAATGCCAATGCAGCAGCAATGCCAATGCAGCACCAATGCCAATGCAGCAACAATGCCAATGCAACAGCAATGCCAATGCAGCAACAATACCAATGCAGCAACAATGCCAATGCAGCAACAATGCCAATGCAGCAACAATGCCAATGCAGCAACAATGCCAATGCAGCAACAATGCTAATGCAGCAACAATGCCAATGCAGCAACAATGCTAATGCAGCAACAATGCCAATGCAGCAACAATGCCAATGCAGCAACAATGCCAATGCAGCAACAATGCCAATGCAGCAACAATGCCAATGCAGCAACAATGCCAATGCAGAAACAATGCCAATGCAGCAACAATGCCAATGCAGCAGCAATGCCAATGCAGCAGCAATGCCAATGCAGCACCAATGCCAATGCAGCACCAATGCCAATGCAACAGCAATGCCAATGCAGCAACAATGCCAATGCAACAACAATGCCAAACGCTGGGGATGCGGGGGGAAGTTAACTCGGATAAATAGATTAGTACTCTTAGTTCTTTTGGTAAAGTCACGTAGGTAAAAAATGAAATTAAAATTAATAAAAATAAAACAATAAAATCACGACGTTTCGGAGGCAACACAAGTCTCCGTCTACGTCGTGATTTTATTGTTTTATTTTGTATTAATTTTAATTTCATATTTTTACCTACGTGACTTTACCGAAAGAACTAAGAGTATGAATCCTTGCAGTCACGAAAGCTTCAAATCTAGAAATAGATGAGTATCCGGCAGATATGCCTTTAGAGGCTGACTCCTTTGCCTCATGACAACCGTTTGTGTTGCGATCGAAACGTCGTGATTTGTTTTATTTTGTTTCTAACTACGTGACTTTACCGAAACAACCAAAGAGTATGAATGTCTTCTTGGTTCAATTCGGTAAAGTCACGTAGAATGGAAATAATAAAATAATAAAATAAAACATAATAGAATTATTCTCACGACGTTTCGGCCACAACGCAAGCAGCCGTCCTCAGGTGAAGAACGGGTCTGTCGGGGAGACAACGTTGTGGCCGAAACGTCGTGAGAATTATTTTATTATGTTTTATTTTATTATTTTATTTCCATTCTACGTGACTTTACCGAAAGAACCAAGAAGATGAATCCCTGCAGTCACGAAAGCTTTAAATCGAAAAGTATGAATGTGTTATTCTTGAAACTAATTGGCCTACACCAGAGATGGCCTCCTGTATGGCCTTGTCTCACGAGTGTTAGACCGGAGAATGCCAAAAGGCGAACAACACGAAAGGAATGCAAATATTAAAGCATTAATAACTGAGGTTGAGCAGTTTTATTACTGTCCATAACCCTTACTAATTAGGAATGTGAGTCACCCTTGTTGATAATTTGCTGGAGATAACTTATTGAATACGTTTGCTCTCCCTTGTGTGTGGACGCAGTCTACAAGATTGTGATGTTGTCCGTCCTGAGTTCCATTGGGCTGATCGCCCTGTGTGCTGGTGCAAGGCTTCTATACTGGCGTTACATGAGGTGAGTGTGATGATGATGAGGGTAAAATTGCTACAGGGAGCACATGTTTCTTAAAATCGACCGCTCTTTGCCATTGTTTCCATGTAAACCGACTCCCTTCCATGTCAAACATAATTGTAGAATGTTTGGAGTCGAGGGTAAGCCCTTCATGTTAAAGTAACTTGAAGAAAAACGAAACACAAACAGCTCTTGTAGCTACACAACTAATCAGCGTGTCCTTGGTAGTTTAGCACGCGTTTTATTTGATGGTACGTTGAACTTCTGTAAAATCAGTGTCACGTTTTGAAATGAATAACGCATCCAAAATCACATTCTTGCAAGGCAGCATCACAAATCTTAGACAATGGTCCATGGAAACATATCACACGACTACGGAACTCGCTTCAAGTGACCTCATATGTATACCATGGGACAAAAATTCCCCATCCGCTTTGACAGAGTAACGTCCACCACGTGACTCTCACAGCTCGGATTTAACCGAAATCAATGCACTTCTCAGCTCAGTTTTTTTACGTGCGGTAAAAAAATCTCAGCAGTGCTAGTTCACACGAACATATCTCTACACCAACCAGCCACCAAAAAGCAGTGATGAATAAATAATTAAAGACGCTTCAAATGCACGCGAAGCTTTGTGAGACAATGTCTAGGTGTGTGTGTAGTAGGAGCTAGGACGGAGGTCCGCAACCTGTGACTCCAGAGTAGCATGCGGCTCTTCAAGGGTTGCTTCGTGACGTTTTTCTTCATTTAAAATGATCTCGTATTCACCGCAGTGCATTACGGCTGTTGAAAGATTCAAAAGTTTTTTTTTACCGAATTTGAAAAAAAATGGTTCTTGTTATTTCGAACGCCAACCCCTGATGTAGGAAGATAAGAGCACGGTGCAGGAGTCTAGGAGCCCATGATGAACACTGCACAATCCACGTGCACTGCATCCTAGCAAGGCAACCTTTCACGTCTCAACAATTTTCTCCTGTTCTTGGTTCTTTCGGTGAAGTCACGTAGAAGGGAAGTAATAAAATAATAAAAATAAAACATAATTAAATAATTCTCACGACGTGTTTTATTTTTATTATTTTATTACTTCCCTTCTACGTGACTTCACCGAAAGAACCCAGAAGATGAATCCCTGCAGTCACGAAAGCTTTAAATCGAAATTTTCTCCTGCTTCTCTTTTGCACTTTCTGTGGTAGCCTTCCTCCAGCACAGCCTGCAGATGACGGTGGCGAGGCCAATGTCATGAACGGTGACGAAGAAGACGCGCCACCGTCACTCGGTAGCGACATCTCACGAGCCCTCAGGGCAATTTACCAATACGTAATGCCGCAGCCAAGGGTCGTGGATGAAGAAGAAGGAGAAGGAGGAGAAGGAGGAGAAGGAGGAGAAGAAGAACACGTTGCACCAGGCGGGTGGTTCATGGAGACGCTCACTACCTTGATGCAAAGCCTGAAGCCTGAGCCAGGGTCCAGCGGCGGCACAGATGGCGGTGGTGATGACGACAACAAGACGCACCATAAGGAGAAGAACGTGAAGTCAGGTGAGAGCAGTGTGTCCGTGTGCATCTACCAGTCATCTCGCACCTCCGATTAGCACGGTTGGCTATGTATGGTACAAAGAAGTTCAACATAGCTACATCTCAGACAATCGATGGCACCTGGATCTCTGTTCCATGGACCAGATGACGCCAACCCATGTGAGACTAGGCTCTAAGGAAAGCTGTCTCGGGTGTGGACCAATCAACTTCAAGGACAGTGCATACATTATCAGAGTTATGTTTTTTGTTTGCATTATGACTGCAGGTATTGTGGTCTATGCAAACATGACTCCTTGTAAAAAAGGTGTCAGTTTTGTTGCCAGATAGAAGGGTAAAAAAACAATTATAATATTTTTACTGGCAAATGAGGTTCCCATGATTTAAAGCTTTCGTGACTGCAGGGATTCATCTTCTTGGTTCTTTCGGTAAAGTCACGTAGAAGGGAAGTAATAAAATAATATTATGTTTTATTTTTATTATTTTATTACTTCCCTTCTACGTGACTTTACCGAAAGAACCAAGAAGAGGAGGTTCCCATGGTGTAGATGTATGCCTGTTGTGGATAAAGACACCCACTGAAATGGCTTCATAAGTACCAGTCCTGTCTGTGCCATCTCCCCTGGGAAGATGCTACATAACACAGGGTGTGACACAGGTTAGGATATCACGACAACGTACACTTGAAACTTCCAAGTTGGTCGTGGCTTCAAATTATTTTATTTTTCCTGCCACATTAGCTGCTCAGTTCCAAGGGCCCAATGCATGGCACTGTCAAGGATGTGTTCCGGCGTAGGCTCACTGCGAAATGCCGGGTGGCATCGTGGTTCTGCTCCGACTCTGTGTGGCCCTGGGTGAAGAGGCCACTCTCCCCTGCTCACTGCTAATTTAAACGTGATCTGTCTCCTTGCAGGCAAAAAGAAAGAAAAGTTCAAGAAATTACTGGGAAATAAGAGAGCGCAAGCAAAGAAACTCCACAGCAAATTCAAGGCGACTTTCAAGAAGAAAATGCCAAAATTTAGATTTAGAAAGAAGCGTAAATAGTCGTGGACAGCATCTCCCTTCCCCGACAACCCCTCCCTGCTCCTCCTCTTCACTCCGAACATTTATAAATCCACGTGATCACATCTCTCGTTATATCGCATTCCCTGCTCCCTTCTTCAACCCCTTCACAAAGTTAATGATCCCTCGTTTAGCCAAAACAGATTGTTGGGGCAAGGTTTCAGACGCGATTCCTTGTTAAGCGTTTCAGTTTGGTGTGCTAACATCCTAACACCTGTTTTGTTGCCAAGAAAAAAAGGGGAATACATATTCTCATACCTCAACCCACATACAGACGCATAACACAAAGATCCCCTGTATAGCTTTAACGGACTGTTCGGGCAAGTGCTGTTAGCGCCGGTCCACGACCACCTCTCCTGCCTGTCCCGCGCCCACTGGGCGTTTCTACTTGGTGGCCCACCGGGCATCGCTGGCACCGTGCGACTTCCGCGCCATCCCGCGAAACCGGTGGGCCGCTCCGTTACAAGCGTCTGGTGGCTCCTTTTCCGGGCCACGTGGCTGGACATCGGGGCTTTGCGCGGTCCCAAGGACGGGAGGTCGAGCTCCTGCCGGGGGAGTCCTCACCATGTCAGCATGCCAGACACGGAGGGAAGCTTCGCGTTCGGGGCAAGCGAGCCGGACCGAGGCTGCGGGTTCTTGTCGTGGGCCCGGCCGCTGCACTGCATGGACATTGTCGGTGGTGCGGGGGACTCCATCGCCATGGCCCCCTCTTCCCACGTGGCTCCAGTCCCTCGCCGCCCCCTTTGTCTTTCCAATGCAATGTTGGCTGACTACCTTTGAACCCCCTAGCTTTCTGTCACCACCTATGAGCAGGCCTATCCCAACCCCTCTTTATCAATAAATCTTGCTTTGCTGCATCAAAACTACACCATGTATAATAACCCAATTTTTTTTTATTGTTATGTTACGTACAATTTTATAATTGCTGTAAAGTGCCTTGTTAAAGGCATTATGTAAATCTCATTAAGATAAGATACACACTTGCATAAACACACATAACACCACAAATGCGGATATACATGTAACATAACACGGAGAGATGGAATCACAGTTGTAAAACTATTTGAAATTTATTTACAAAGTCTTGGTGCGTCTGTTGAACAATGCAATGTTCACATATACATACATGATGCTGCAGCTTCACACGTGATTACTCCTGCGAATGATCTGTTACTGGTAGAAACCTGGTTACACCAGCCCACAGGGGATTATTGTGTCCGTCCGTCCGTCGTGCATCCAAAAATGGGAGGGGTGGGGCTGGCTGGAGAGGGGAGGGTGGGGAGAGGCTGGGTGGGGAGGGGAGAGTGGGGAGAGGCTGGGTGGGGCTGGGTGGGGCGTAGGAGGGGTGGGGCTGGGAGGGGAGGGGCTGGTCACCCCGTGGTGCCCTTATAAAACTCAACGTTGAACCTACTCACGCCGGCTTGTGCCCGCCTTCTCAGTCGGGCATATTTGCGGAATACACCACGCCGCCGTTGACCTTGGCCATTGACCGAGCAACCCAACGTTCCTACCAGCTCCCTCCGCAGGAATGTGTTTTATTTTGGGTGCTAACCTAAGACCAAAGAGTACACATGATGCAAGTACTTCAGGCACTGCTGATGTTTTTGTTGGCACAATGTACACGAGGTGGGGTTTTTTGTGTGCGCGGGGAGCGGTGGCGCAGCGGTTAGCGCTACGCTACGCTACGAATCCAGCGACCCGAGTTCGATTCCCGCTCACGGCCACCAACACCACCAGTGACGAGCATCTGCACCGGTCCTGAGCCTCCACTCCTCGGTCGACTCAGCCTCAAACGAGCACCTGGCGCGGCGTGTAAACATCGCCACCGGGGGAGACAAAGGCGGCCGGGCGTGGTGCTTGCACACCAAAGGGGCTGTCCATAAATGACGTCACGCACCGGGGGGGGGGGGGTCAGACATTTGTGACGATGGAGGGGGGGGTTGAGAAACGTGACGTCACATCAAAATGCGCAACTTTAAATAAATATAGAATTGTTATAACTACACTAATTGTTATAACAACACTCCTACGACATCAGAGTGCAGCGCCACATTAAATACGCACTACAATGACAATAGTTTCAAGCGATTTGAAGCATGTTTTTTTTTCAAAATGCAAATATGGTTTTTGGGGGGGGGGGGCAGAGCTTTGTGACGTCATATTTGAGGTGGGGGGGGGTCTGACTTTTTGTGACGCCGTGTGACGAGGGGGGGGGTCAAGGGAGGGGGGGGTCAAAAATTGTCCAAAATAGCGTGACGTCATTTATGGACGCCCCCCCCCAACCCCCCGCGTCACATGCCACACAAATCCCGGCCTTCATAGCTACTGCTCGCGAACAGCACTTGCCCCGACACTCTGTGTAAGGCTACACCGGTGGGGCAGGGCATCTTTGTCTTTTGTTTGTATTGAAACGCAAGAAACCGCGAGCTCACGTGACCACAACCTCCTCCTCACCCATCATGGCGGACGTGCGCTTCCCGCCGTTCCGAGCAGCGGACGATTTCGTCCTCGGCGTAGCGCGATTCGGGGCGCCGGACATGAACGACCCGGCGAGGTGGAACAACAGGATCATCAACAACCTGCTGTACTACCAGAGCAACTACGCCGCCTCCATCGTGGCCGTCATGCTGCTGGTCGGGTGAGTCTGGCGCGGCCTAGGCCTACTTTTACGGGGTGGCGCAGCCTCGGTCTTGCCTGGAGGGGTTGCGCCGGAGATGAGGCGGGTTGCGCCGGGGATGAGGCGGGCCGCGACCCGCCACCCGAGTCGGTGTTGTTTAACGATGATTGTTAAATAATTACGGGCGTTTGATTTGTCAATGTTTTTATTGTTATTTTGCTCGCGATAAAGTATCGTACGGTGAACTTGCGTGGGTTTATTAACGGCTGCGGTTTGAGTGCATCGATGGGTGTGGCTGTGGTTGACGCGGTCAGATTTGCAATAACGCCAATAGCCATTCACCCTCAAATTTATACATTGTTATTTGTTGAGTGCCTACACACTGAAAAGTATCTAAAGCTGCATTCACGTCGGCTTGTTTTCTCGAGTGTGACACGGAATTTTACACGCGAGTGTGCGTTGAACAATGCGTTGAATAATCACGACTTTTAAGAATGTCTCGCAGAGTTGAGACCATTGCCTTAAGAGGGCCCCAAAATCCGATAGTAGCTGCCAGTCTTGGTTTTTAAGAGACCCCAGTAACAATGGGAAGTACTGTAAATCAGCCCTCTTGCGTCATAATCCCATGAGATATCGATCCATCCGTTTATTTGTATAATAAAATATCCCAATGTAGAGCAATTTCATTGTTAAGTCTGTTTCTATTTCTTCAGAGACTGGTCTGTCTCCGAGTCAGGTTGTCTAAAGTCTCACCAGACACAGCATTCTGCATATTTGTTTTATAAAGATCTTCCCCTAAATGTAAGAACAATAGGAAACAGTGACCCTTTTATTTTTAATTGCCGCTATTTTACAGTTTGAGAGGTAATCGGAGACAAGTTGTGCAGTAACTCTGACATATTGCGGTTCTGCAAGCACTTAATCTCAACGATGTATTGCATGTTGAAGCGGCATGAGTTAAATGAGATGCTGTCACTCCAAATTGAATTCACCGACCTTTATTTAATCGGATGAGCGCACATGGAGATCGATTTTCTTTTTTGCAAGAGCGACATTCTTTTGGAACAAGTAAATAATCAGGCAATACACCTTCACCAGAGTACGCCAAAAGGCGCCTTTTGGCGTCCTCTGGTCTAACACAATTTGAGACGAGGCTCAAAAGAAAGCTGTCTCTGGCGTGGACCAATCAGTTTCAAAGACAATGCATATATTATCAGTGTTTTTTGTTTGCACTCTGAACACAAGTATTGTGGTTGATGCAGACATTCCTTGTAAAATGTTTCAGTTTGGCGTTTTAACATCTTAGCACCTGTTTTGTTGCCAGAAAAAAGGGGAAAACCTATTCTCAATTATTGTTTTGCTTTATCTAAAATATAGATTTCATTTATTGGCTATGTAGATGTAGATACTGTCTATATATAGATACTGTATGCGTTTAGCAATTTAGTCGAGAATGATGTGGAAATATGGGATTTCGGATACTATATATGATATCGCCTACTGACACAGATGTTGTCACATGTTCCTTTGCAACAAGCGTGGTGTAGTTTGTCAGTGCAGATATTACAGAGGAGCTCCGGTAATTGAATTATCGATCTTTTGGAATTGTGTCCATTAGGGAGGATGTAAACTATGAGGTGAATTTTTTAAAACAATTATTCACTCTTAACCTTGTTTTTTATTCTAATGCTTGCGATACATACCCTAAAAGTATTCAATGTAAATACATTCCTTAAACATTGACCATAATTTGTATGTGCCGACAAAAAGTATTGTAATGTGTAAGGAGGCTATGCATAATCTTTTTAAGGCTTTATTTGGTTCTCTGTATTGAGTGGACATTTACCAGTCTGTGTATTTTTAGCACTGGCCATTAACAGCTGCTCTCATCCAAATCCTTGTAGAATTGAACAATTTAGATGAACAGTTGTCAGGCGGGCAGAATACTCTCAGTTAAGCCAGAGTGTTAATCATAGCTCGTTTTTTTTAATCATCCGGACAGGTGGTGCTGTGGTAATAGCGTTTCACTCGCAATCGGAGAAGTCACGAGTTCAACTGCTGGTCGGAGGATCAACTCAACCTTTCATTCATCTTGAGACAATAAAACGAGTAGTTTTTTGTAGAAAGTCAACGTTTATTACTCTTTGGTTCTTTCGGTAAAGTCACGTAGGTATAAATAAAATAAAAATATATCGCGACGTTTCTGGCGCAACACAAGCGTCCGTCATCAGGTGGGAAAACACAGAGCTGGACGCTTGTGTTGCGCCCGAAACGTCGAGATTTATTTTTATTTTATTTTCTACCCACGTGACTTTACCGAAAAAACCAAAGAGTATGGATTCCTGCAGTCACGAAAGCTTCAAATCAAGATTCGACATTTATTCTTTCCAGAAACATTGCCCCATCCGCCGCCTACAGAATTATGTAATTTTCACTTCTGTCTCGGCCGCCACCAGCAGAGATGAGCGGCATCCCCCCTCTTGAGGACCTCAAAGTAAAAGCCCTTTCACCAGCAGTGGTGTGAGCAATTGCAGGGTTGCACCTTTACCATCTTTTAAATACAAAGAACACTGACAATCGCCTCTGGACGATTACAGTTCAATCAGCCCTCTGCTTTGGATGAATAATGAATAAATACAATACCAGCTCTTTTTTTTTATTAATGCTACCCCTATCCCCTCCCTTTGAGGCTGCTAATCCTACATAATGCACGGGCATAATATGACTTTGAAAACCCCCCGCCCACCTCCTACGCATTTCACAAGTAGTACTAATCACATTCCTGCATTTCCCATAAATATGCTAAATTCCTCTTGATGTGCGAATTATTTTGTCAAGGCGGCCTTCCCCCCTTCCAACCCAGCTTAAATATACGCTCCAAGCGTGGTGGTGTTTCATTCAGACGCTGTCTCCCCAACAGACCTGGTCTTCACCTGAGGACGGCTGCTTGCGTTGTGGCTGAAACGTCGTGATAATTATTTTATTATGTTTTATTTTTATTATTTCATTACTTCCCTTCTACGTGACTTTACCGAAAGAACCAAGAAGATACCAGCTCTGTGTTTTGTTTTTCCTGCCGGGCACGCAGGTACATACGTCCCCTAGAGATGATGATCGGTGGGGCGGTGGTGGCCATCGTCTTCCTGGCCTTTGTCCTGGCCTCGGAGAACCGCACCACCGTGCGCCGCTTCAAGCGCAACCGACCGGGCTTGGCGGTGTGT